CCCGGGGCTGTGGGCAGCACAGCAGGGGCAGAATCGGGGAGGAAAGGATCGTGGGGCGGTTAACAGGACCTGAATTTATGAAAGAAATGGTGGAATGTGAGGTCGTGCAGCTCCCTGTGCAGCAAGATGCAGAGGTGCTCTGAGTCTGCTCTAGGAGGTGAATAACCCTCGCTGCAGTGAGGACAAAGCAGGTGCCAGCGGCTGTGAAGCCAAGCGAGAGTACGCGGAGGCGTGGGGATGTGTTTAAGAGGGCCACCGGAGGAAGCGGCTCGTCCTGGGGCCCTTGTGTGCCCTGGGTCGTACCATCGCAGAGCGGCTCCTGCTGTTCTTCCCAGAGCCTGTTCTTGCCTTGCCAGGCAGAGAGAAGGTGACTCCTTCATGCAGCAGGAGAAATAATTTACGGTGCTCATCAGACTGCAACTTCAAGGGTATTGTTCTGTTCCCTAAGTATTTAGTGAGTGAAATTTCAAAGACATGCACTCAAACTCACGGAATGCCTTAGAGCCTGAGCTTGGGATCTAAATCTGACCTCTGATAAGCATTGTACTATTACAGATTATAGCGAGTTTCTTAACACCAGTGCTTATATTCACAGCAAAAAAAAAAAAAACACACAACCCTGCTGTCTCATAACATATCCTGAATCTTTTTATGACATAAATTTAGCTACCTCTTAAGTATAGACTTTTTTTTTCTTTAAATGCATGGATTTATTTTGGAGTAATTGAAAAAGATCCTCCCCTTTCCTTCATTAGTCTTATGCCATTATTATAAGAAGCCAGGCCATCCCATCATTCTGTTGGGCTGTTTAATTGCCCTGCAAACACGGAGCGGTGCTAATAAGCTTTCTTTCAAGCATGTGTTCATGTGTCAACACTTTTGCTTCTGTCAGGAGCTTAAAAATGGAAACAGTTTTCTCTTTAAGAAAACAGGACCCAAATAAGGAGATGATGGAGTGGGGAAGATTCCTGTAGTGAGTCTGTTCCAGCTCATTCCTTAGAAAGGCTGCGTATGAAAGATCAGAGAAGAGGCCGAGAGATCTGGGCTTTGTCCAGGGGTCTCTGGGTTTAAAGCTCTCTACAACCACTCGAGCTCATTTTCCCCAGGACCTGGCTGGGTACAACTTTGTTCTCTGCCCGAGCTGTTCAAAATCTAAAACTTTACTCTCTGGAATTCTTTCAGTAGCACCGCAGACACAACCTATCCTTCAGCAAAAATGGAAGCTATCAAGAAAAAGATGCAGATGTTGAAGTTAGACAAGGAGAACGCCATCGACAGAGCAGAGCAGGCTGAAACGGATAAGAAGGCAGCTGAGGACAAATGCAAACAGGTAAGGAGAAATAAAATCACCGATTGTGCATGCACTGTGAAATCAGTGTCACGAAACACGATGTTGTAATTTTCTGATTCAGAAAGCAAAATAATTTGAAGTCGGGTTTTCTGTTAATCTTCTTTTGAAGTTGTCTTGCCTTTTTGTGCTGTTACACTCATACAGCCAGGGCTCGGCATCAACCTCTCTTTTCAGCCATCCGAGTCTTTGCAAAATTAGCACTGTTAAGAGTACTTTGTCTAAGTTTTCTTGAATCTTATGTAATTGCCTTAATTTTCTTGTGCTTGTGATTCCGTGGAAGAGGCCTTACATACTCCAAATCAAGGCTGAACGCCTTGAAGAGCTGTAGGACTAGTGTTAATTCCTCCCCAAGAGTCAGTTGTCCCTAAACATTAATCGAGCTTCTCCCTAAAGTGAATTAATGAAGTTCACCTGATTAGCCCTTGGTACAGAGAGTGCTCCTCGGAGGTGCCAGCAGGTGACTCAACAGTAGGCACGTTGTATTATTTTTATGTGATGAATAGTCAGAAATATGTCAGTTTGAAAGTGCTTCTTTTCACTTAAATTTAATGATAACATTTTCATAGTCTTTTGGTTTTCAGTGTTCTTCATCCTGGATATCTACCTCATATCTGAGCTATAGCATTTTCAGAATGTTCTTGAAATGTTTTGAATTTCTTAGAGCGCTTCTTGTGAAATTACTGTGTCTTTTCCTTTTGCGTTCTCTAAATGTGGATGCTTCTACTACATCTTCCAGACTGCTGTAATACCTTATTAGCATTCATTTGGCTGAAAATTTTGTATGTTTGCGTTCAGTTTGAGGTGCTGGATGGTAAAACTAAACCTTCACCTGATCGTCCGTTCAGCTGAAGTAATAGGAAGAAAGTTTCCAGAGCAGTCGGCTGCTGCCGGCTTCCCCTTCCACCCCCAGCTAAGAAAACGTGTCTCTTCCCCTGAGCTGCACGCGTCGCCCCGTGGACGCAGCCCCTGTTGCTTCCCTGGTTTTGGAGGTGTTGGTTGGGTGTGGGGTTTTTGGGCCGCGGTTTCCCCAATTGAAGTTTTTTGCGCTCGCTATCAGCCGCAGCAGATCGTTACCCGGGGTGGTTAACGGAGATTGAACACTCGGCCTTCCTTTGCATTTAGTTATCCAAGGTGATTTCCCGCAGAGTAATAAACGACACGCTTGTGGGAATTTTCAGGCATCTCTATGAAGGTTACTCACACCAAAAAGCTAACAGAGGAAAAAAAAATCTTTGATCTTACTCCTCTTTTCTAATTGTCTCAAATTGTTCTGCTTTTCTTTTTTCCCCCATGTGAGCACAGTACTCAAGTAGTGATTTAAATGTCGTACGTCCCAGTAAGCATCACCCCCTTCATCCTGCTGCTTGTCCCTCTCTTAAAGCACCCGAGCGAGCCCGTTGGGTTCTCTCGCACCATCTGGTTACTCCGAGTAGTAGCACAACACCGCTCCGGAACAGCACGCCACCAAAAATGTTAATAAAGCTATCTTGAAAGCTTGAATAAAGAAAGTTGGGGCGCTCAATCACAAACTATTTTGAGTGAACTATTTTGATAGACTGCATTTATGTGAAGGCTGAGCTAACCGGTTAAATCAGTTTTCCGTGCAGGCTGAGCTGTTTCCCGTGGCAAACGCAGGGATGGAGCAGATGGGTGTGCGCGCCACCCTTATCAGCAGCGAGCCTCCTGATAATGTAAATTCTTCAGGGAGCATGAGACAGTTTGTCATTAAACAGTCTCTCAGCAGGTTATAAATAGCACGTTCTCGCATCCAATATGGATTTATATGGTATGGAGAGGGTCTGAACCTCGTGGTAGGATGAAGCACACCTTGTTGGCCGCAATTAGAGAAGAACTGGCGCTGGGAGGGACCTCCGGGGGTCAAGGAGTCCCACCTCCCGCTCGCAGCCGGGTCTGGCGCGGGCCAGGCCTGGTCCCTCCTGCGCCCGGAATGTCACGTTTGGTTTGAAGCACCTTGAACGGCAAAGGATGATAAGGGATCGACCACTCGTTTTTTCCTAGCTACACAGGAATTGAACAGTTTCCTCATAAATCATCAGGCAATAGTGTTAGAATGCAAGGACGTAATTTCAAAACATCGATCATTATGGTGTAGAATTAACTGCCACCAGGTGTTGTGGAGTCCAAAACAGACGTGAGGTGAAGAAGAGCTCACACCAAGTTCTGCATTAAACCAGCTGCCGCGTGTGCGGTGCCAGGGAAGGGTGAGCTGAGGGTGAGCGGGCGTGAAAGGCAACCGCAACCGCTCGTGCTCAGCCTGCTCGCCCCAGCAGAACTTTGGTCTTTTGCGACGCTGTACGTGATGTCAGGTTAAAACTAACGGCAAAGAGAGGTTTTAACTGTACTAATCTGTAACTGGTAATTCATCAGAAACGCTCACTTTCGTCTTGCTTTCTTTCTCTAATGAAAGGTGGAGGATGAGCTGGTAGCTCTGCAGAAGAAGCTGAAGGGAACTGAAGATGAGCTGGACAAGTACTCGGAGGCTCTCAAAGATGCCCAGGAGAAGCTGGAGCAGGCTGAGAAGAAAGCCACCGATGT